TCAAACCCTTATTTAAAAAAAAAAAAAGAAACAGGTCTAGTCCTATGCCTGTGCAATCGAATTTCAGCATATTTTCCCAACTTCCTTAAAAATTTATATCTATGCAAGAACTTGCATGTGTGTAATTAAGATGTCCTTTATAGGTGCCAATAAACATTAGCACAACAGAAAATAATTCAGCAGTAATTATTAAATAAATAAATAAAAAGAAATGAGTGAACTATTAGGCAACAGAGTAGCACGACTGAATCTTAAGTGTTTATTATTAAGTAAAAGGAGCCAACTGGAAAAATCACTTCATGATTCCAATTACATGACAAAAACCACAGAAATAATGGTATTTTATAATTATATATGTAAGGCATGCTTAAGAAAAAATCCCCACAATGATGGGATATAGAAATGGGTACAAGAAAAATTGAAGACTATCTCAACAAACCTTTGGTAAAATCTAGCCCTTGAAATCAGAACATGGAATTGAAGCATACAGAAGGGGCTGAACTAAAAGGGAAGGGAGCACAGTGGACTATGGTGGTGGAATATGTGTGACGTGGTGGAGGGTGCACCACAGTGGCAATGCTTGACTGGGTGGATGTCGGAGACTAGCTCCAACTTTTGAGATGTCTGGAGGCAGCACAGGCAGGACCCTAAGATGGGAAGGCGTCGGCGAGTGGATATTCCAGAAGGGAAGACAGGAGCGGGTGCGAGGAAGACACAGGAGTCAGGATAGGGTGCAAGTCTTCCTGCTTTCCCTTCAGCAGGTCTTTATTTATACTGTGTAGCAAGTAGTTAATTGTAATAATGCATAGGGTGAGTTAATGAGATATCTCTATAAAACATTCTCAAGGACAAGGGGAAAAAGCATTCTTCTCTTAACAATTTATGGTATAACAGATTATACGTTTTGTGATAGTTATCATGTATACAGCTGTCTAGTTATCACTCAAAGGAAGAGAGGTCTGGGAAAGGGTGAGCTTGTTAGCAAAAGGTTGTTAGGGGTCTTGAGGTAGTAATAAATTGTGTTAGCAGTGTTATCAGTGATTGCCTAAAGAAAAGCTAATGGCTAATTTAAGGCTAGCAGAGAGTAGTTAGTGCTTGTTTTAAAAAGGAGTAAATTAAGAGAAGGTTGTACAGCTGTATATCAAACAACGCCTGTATAGTCAAGGTTAAAATTTGTTCATTATGCCCTGGGAGCCTTATCTGAGGTTTGCTTTTTTATTTAAAGAAACCAAGGGAGCTTCCCAGGAGTTTTTATGTCCTGGGGTCTTATTTCTCCTGGGGCTTGCCTTTTGTCTCAGGAGAAAGAAGAATATCTCCTCCTGGGGCAGCTTGCCTGGACCAGGCAGCCGCCTGTGTGGTTAAGACAATCCAGTTATAAACTGAATGTTGCTCAGAATATTTTGATATTATGTTTATACAAAAAAGGGAGGTCATAACATAAGTTAGCAGTGGACAGTCTGATTTTTCAGAGCTTATCCCGATCCACCCGGAATCTGTCAGACGATGGACGTTGCATAGCTTGTGTCAGGTGGACCCTATGCTTTCCAAACACCAACAATGATAATACAAACCAATGCTACCTCAACTAAAATAACAAATGATATAACTAAATAGAGAAGTATTGGATTATAACTCAAAGCACCTAGTAGTCAGGAGTTCATAATGACGCAAAGAAATTGTTGAATAAGTAAGAAGAAACAAATTACCTTGCAGAAGAAGTCCAATATTTTTACAGATATTCCATTCTCTGGGAGGTAGAAACAACTTATCATTCTTGGGTATGGGCCATGCTTAATGACTTCCTTACAAAAGTCAAGTGTGAAAATGTGACTTAAGTGGAGAAATCTGACAAACATAATTTCAGTCACGTGATCAAGGTCAACATGAAAGAAAGGAGTCATGTTGCCCACCTGTAAACTGACATCGAGTGATAAGTATGACATCTGACCTCTGAGGTCTTCCCCATACCCCAGCCACAATACAAGTCTAACAATGAAATTAACACCAGACAAGGCTCAACTGAAGGATATTTTACAAAACATCCTTTAAGTGCTCCTCAAAGTGATCAATATAGTAAAAAAAAAATAGGTAAGTTTATGAAACTGGGCTACAAGGCCCCTAAGGAGCTATGAGACCCAATGTAACAGGGTGGGAGATGTTATTAGTACCAGAAGTGAGTATAGGTTTTTCTTTAGTACCTTTGCATTTTTTTAGCAATTCTAAAACTTCAAAATAAAAAACTTATTAAAATATAAAATGTCAGTGAAAAACAAAACAACTTGAAATGGATTCCATTCTGTTAATGATTTTGCTTGGTTTTGGTATTGGTTGTGTTACAGAATGAATTAGGAAATGTTACCATTTGTGGAGAATGGATACAATTACTATTTTCAATATATGGCTGAATTCAAGTCTTTGATTAACAATTATTTATTTTTGTAAGTTTTTCTTTTCAGTAATTTTAATTTTTAAAAAAGATTTATTTATTTATGTATACTGACTGGGGTACAGGCCAGAGGAGCAGGGGAAGTGAGAAGATTAACCAGAGATAGAATGGGGAGCAGAATAGGCAGACCTACAAAGTACACTGCTGAGGGGAGCAGCGGGTGGGTTAGGAGATGTCTGCTGCACCAGGTGGGTCACTTCCCTGGCTGGGGATCAAACTCATGCTAAAGAAACTGTGGCTAGCTTCATAGTGCTGTGCTCAACCCATTGTGCCATCAGGAAGGGCCCTCAATAACTTTTAAATTGAGGTAATATTTGTTTACAGCACTGTACGGAAGTCAGAGATTCAGGATCAGTCCTTTTAAGATGTATGTTATCATAGCACACCCACCTCCTGTAATCCTCCACCCCAATCAATTATCAGTCAGATTTCTAGGGTTTATTTTTATATGATATTTTCTTTTGCTTCTCTGTATCCTATATATGAATGAAACAAGCCAGTATTTCTCTTTCTACTTATGGTATTTCACTTAGTAAATTGCCTCCAGTTCCATCCATGTTGTCACAAATAGTAACATTTCATTTTTTCTTTTTATAGTTGAATAGTATTGCATTATATATATATATATATCTACTACATTTCCTTTTTTTTTTTAAAGATTTATTTATTTATTCATTCATACAGCACTGGGGTACAGGCCAGAGACTCGGAGGGTGAGACTATTCACCAGAGACAGAGCGGGGAGCAGAACAGGCAGATCCGTGAAGTATACTGCTGAGGGGAGCAGTGGGCGGGTCAGTAGAGGTCTGCCATGCCATGTGGTCACTTCCGGGGAAGGCGGAAATCGAACTCATGCGAAAGTGGCTTTAGCTTCTTAGGGCCCTACATTTCCCTTTTCTTCGCTTTCTTTTTTTGTTAAGGTGACACTGCTGATCATTTGTTTTGTTTTATTTTTCACTTCCTGTGTTCTTACCCCAGTTTTTACTCTTCTCAGTTTCTCCTCTTCCCTTCCCCTCTTCCCCTCTTGAATGTCTCATAGCTATGATCAGCTTTCAAATTTTGTCTTTGACCCTTTGTTTGTTTTTTCTATAGTTCACATATAATTGAAACCACCCAGTATGTATCTATTCTTCTGACTTATTTTGCTAGCATCAACATTTCCAGTCCCATCCATGTTGCCACAAATGGCATGAGTTCATCTATTTTGGTCACCAAGTAGTATTCTTTTGTGATTTTTGTATTCTACACTTTCTTTGTTGATATAGCCTGTGATCTTAATATGGTTTGTAGATAATATAGTTGAGATAATGAACTCTTATTAACTTACTTCTGTGTCCATTTAGTATTATGAAATTGTTCATCAAGCCACAATGATGACACAATGCAGTGATAGCACTACATATATATTGAAACAATTAAAATCTACAAAACTAAGAATAAAACACTCAATGTAACTGGGATTTCAAAATGATACACTCACTTTTGAAGACAGTTGGATGAATTATACAAAGGCAAACAGGATCTAAGAATATTATGATAGTGAAATTGAACTTCATATTTTCCCTACTTTTTGAAAAATTATTTCCATGTAAAAACTTGAATGTGTATAAAAGCAAGTGAATAGATAAACAAACCATGATACATCAGCACAACAAAAAAAGCTTCAGCAATGAAAAAAATTAGTGAACCATTAGGCAACAAAATGGCATGATTGAATCTTAATTATGTGAAAGAAGACAGTCTGAAAAATTGGAACATTCATGATTTCAATATACATATTCTCTTGAATTAGTGGTTCCCCCTCCTTCTTTAGGTAGATACCAAGGAGAGGAATTAATGAGTTGTATGGTAGATCACTTTTAATTTTTGAGAACCCTTTATGCTGAATTCCATAGGGACTGGATGAGACTTCACCCCAACATAAGGAGTCTTTTTTTAAAGATTTGTTCATTTGTGCATATAGAACTGGGGTACAGGCCAGAGGTGCAGGGGCAGAGAAAGGATTCACCAGAGGCAGGTTGGGGAGCAGAACAGGCAGATCGTTGAAGTACATTGACCTTCAGTGGGCAGGTCAGGAGACGTCTGCCATGCCATGGGGGTCACCTCCGGGGCAGATGGGGATCGAACTCATGCAGAAGTGTCTTTAGCTTCTTAGTGCTGTGCTTTAACCAGCTGTGCCACCAGGGAAGGCCAGGATACATTTTTATTCACCAACGATTCATTCATGTTCACCAACGTTTCAACATTTCTTGGCACAAAATATTGGAGAAACTTATTTGATGACTGTATAGGAGAAAATCCAGAGATCTATGGAAAATATTTTATTGGAAATGTTTTAGACAAAGATCCATCACAGCTATCAGCAACACCATCAAGGAGGAGATGGAACAGTTGGAATTGTCTTATTTTTTTCAGTTAAAAAACAATAGATATTTAGGTAACATAGGAATTCACTCATATGTAAAATCAAGCTACACATCTGTTAATTGTTGAATGCTGATTGTATTTGAATTTGCACCATATTTGTCTCTTTTACATCAGTTTTGTCGGCTACATGGAAGCAGCAAACAAAACACGTGTTCCAGAATTTATCCTCCTGGGACTTTCAGAAGAAGTATTACTGCAGTCTCTCCTCTTTGGAGTGTTTCTATCCATGTACTTGGTCACCTTCACTGGCAACCTCCTTATTATAGTGGCTATCATCACTGTCCCTCATCTTCATACTCCCATGTACTTCTTCCTCTGTAATCTCTCCTTCACAGACATCTGTTTCACTTCTACCACCATCCCAAAGATGCTGCTGAACATCCACACTCAAAAAAAAGTCATAACCTATGAAGCCTGCTTAAGCCAGATGTATTTTTACAATCTTTTTGGAGGCTTAGACAGCTTCCTCTTGACAGTGATGGCCTATGATCGCTTTGTGGCCATCTGCCACCCCCTGCACTACATAGTCATGATGAACCCCAAGTTTTGTGGTATCCTGCTTCTGGCTTCCTGGTTACTCAGTGCACTGGTGGCTTTATTACAAGACTTAATGCTTTTGCAACTGTCTTTCTGTACAGACTTAGAAATACCTCACTTTTTCTGTGAACTTAATCAGGTAATCCGACTTGCTTGTTCTGACACTTTCCTTAATGATGTAGTCATGTATTTTGCCACTGGAATTATAGGTTCCATTCCAATCACTGGCATCTTCTTCTCCTACTGTAAGATTATAACCTCCATTTTGAGAATTTCATCAGCTAATGGCAAGTATAAAGCCTTTTCCACATGTGGGTCTCACCTCTCAGTTGTCTCCCTGTTTTATGGTACAGGCTTTGGAGTCTATCTCAGTTCAGCTGCTACTGAAAACTCCAGGGATAATGCAATAGCTTCAGTGATGTACACTGTGGTGACTCCCATGCTGAACCCTTTCATCTATGGTCTGAGGAACAGAGATATAAAACAAGCCCTAGAAAAGCTTTTGAACTGAAAAATATTCTCTACAGTAAAGAATTCTTTGACTGAAGAGATGACATAATAGGATGTGAAACTCTAGAATCCCTAACTCATGATATTTGTATCAGTTCAAAGAAAGCAAAACTGCATTTTAAGCATTTATAGAATTCAGGACCTTTACTTTTTCATGCATTGTACATACCTGCTTCTTCATTTTTGGTTTTAAAAATCTGACCTTCCTCATTATATTATTTGGTTTTAGAGTAGAAAGCAGATTTTTAGTATGTGGATTTTAGCAACATATTAATAATATGAGAAATTTAGTTCCTTATAATATCAATCAAAGAGCCAAAAGAATAAATGTGCAATGTTTCCTCTATCAGATAAAATTTGGTACTTCTCTGATTATCTGCTTTTGGAGAAGAATGATTTGACCTAACTGAGGTTATATACCTACTATCAAGGTTTTTGTTAGTGCACTGCAGAAAGAGATATTATGTGAAATTTCAGAAGCAACTATAGACAGACCCCATGGGATTGTTTATAAAAATTGACATCCAGATGTGGTGACCTCCAGGGTGAGTGCCCATTATCCCACCCACAGCATCTGAGCTCCCAAGAAGCCCAGTGCCACTGTGCTGCCCTGTGAGTGAGGGTACAAATGTGGGGAGGGGGAAGCAACATACTGAGAAGTGGCGACCTCTTGGAAAAATTCCCTTGGGCCCACCCATAGCATCAGAGTTCTAATGAAATCTGGGGAAAAAAATGCAACAGAGCTGTCTTGGCATCTAGTCCCCAATTCCCTGGTAGGAGAACTCCAAAGTCATGTCTACCAGTACCAGTCGCATGGTGGCCCAGTGGGTATAACAAATCTAGAAAGAAACACTGGGAGAAAGAACATACCAATGGTCAAGCAAGTCCTCCAGGTAACTTCATGCCACAAAAGGACAATCAGGTCCCTGACCCCAACAACATTGGCATGGGAGAATTTCTCTTCCTGACAGATAAAGAAATCAGAATCATCATAGTTAAATAGATGAAGAAAAGGAAAAGAATGATATGGAGAACATAATCAACAAATCAATGAACCAGAATAAATCTTTAAAAAAAAGAAAGGAATTACTAGATGTTAAACATCAATGGAAAAGCTAAAGAACTCTGGGAAAAAACAATGAAAGCAGAATAGATGAAATGGAAGAATGAATCAGTACTCTCAAAGTATGGAAAGAACTGAGAGAGAGAGAGAGAGAGAGAGAGAGAGAGAGAAGAGAGGGACAAAGGAAAAAGAATAAAGAAAGACTTCAAGAACTATCCAATACCATGAGCAAAGGGAATATAAAAACCATAGGAAGCCCAGAAAGTGAGAAGAGAGACAAAGGAATTGAGGAGCTATTAAAGGAAATTTAAGAGAATTTCAGAAGCATGAAGAAAGTGAAAGCAGACATACAGAAGCAATGACAATACCAAATTACCATAATGAAAAGAAAACTACAGCAAGACACATTACAGTGAAACTGATGAGAGGGAAGAAACAAATAACATGAAGGAAACTCATTAGGCTGACATCAGACTTCTCCAAAGAAACACTACAGATAAGAGAGAGTGGAGCAACATATTCAAAAGCCTTGAAGACAAAAAAAAAAAAAAAGCCAGTTAAGAATACTTTATCTACAAAACTCTCCTTCCTTTATGAGGGGAAAAATAAGGGCTTCTTGGAGAAGCAATATCTTCACAATTTGCTTCCAAGAAATGTTACAAGAAGGCTTGAAAATCTAACAGAGTTAATGAAAAGGAAGAACTGAAAAAGTCTTCATAGAACCACAAAGTGATGAACAAACGTGGCAATGACAGACTTACATACATCATTAATCATCCTAAATCTAAATGGACTATATTCACCCATAAAAGTACAGAGTAGCAGCCTAGAATAGAAAACAACATAACCTTCTGCTGCCTCCAGGAAAACACACTTAAATTCCAAAGATAAACAGATTAAAAGTAAAGGGCTGGGGGCCCTCCCTGGTGGCGCAGCAGGTTAAAGCACTGCACAAAGAAGCTAAAGCCACTTCTGCATGAGTTCGATTCCTGCCTGCCCCGGAGGTGACCACATGGCATGGCAGACCTCTCCTGACCCGCCCGCTGCTCTCCTCAGCAGTGTACTTCGTTGATCTGCCTGTTCTGCTCCCTATTCTGTCTCTGGTGGAGCCTCTCACCACCCCTGAGCCTCTGGCCTGTACCCCAGTTCTGTATGTACAAATAAATAAATATTTAAAAAAATAAATGAAACAAAAAGTAAAGGGCTGGATCCCAATTCTATGTGTTGATGGTCCCCAAATAAGGCAGGGGGCTGTACTTATATCAGATGAAATAGGCTTCAAGCTAAAAAGGTGACAACAGATACCAATGGACACTACATAATGTATAGCAGAAATTTATAACTCTCATCAATATATGTGCATCACATGAAGGAGCATTAACATACACTAAGCAATTACTTTTGAATCTGAAAGCAGATATTGTAGAATATATTATGTGGTAAGAAACTTCAACACCCACTCTCACCATTGGACACGTCAACGAGATAAAAAGTAAACAAGGACAAAATAGCTCCCAAAAGGACCTAGGAAACATATGACTAAAAGATATTTGCAGGACACTGGACCCCAAAAACGAAATACACATTTTCGCAAGTATACACATATCTTTCTATGGGAAAGGACACATAAGAAGGTATTAGAAAAACATCAACAAGTACATGAAGACTGAATCATATGAACTATCTTTTCTGACCATAAATGCATCAAAACAAAAATCAACCATGAAAAGAAACATGGAATCCTCCAAATACAGGGAGATTGAAGAGCTTGCTACTGAAAGACCACTGATTAATGAATAAATCAGAGGAAATAAAAAAAAAAACATCCTTGAGACAAATGATAAAGTGTACACAACTTTCCAGCCTGTATGGGAAAAAACAAAATCAATAGTAAGAGGAATGTAGCAATACAAGACCACATCAAGAATCAGAAAGAATCCCCCAAACAATCTAAGCTCTGATTTAAAAGAACCAGAAAAAGAACAACAGAGGACCCAAAAACAAGTTGAAGAAAATAAATAAAATGATAAAAATTCAAATGAAATAGAAATAAAAATAAAATCCAACAGATCAATGATCGGAAGCTGGTTCTTTGAAAAAATAAACAAAATAGACAAACCTCTTGTCAGGGTCACAAAAAAAAGGGAGAAAACCCAAATAAATAGTATCATAAATGAAAGACAAATTAT